CTCGTTGTTGGTATGTGCCACAGCCAGTACATGAACATTCGCACCTGAGACGGTCCCATCGGGCCTGCTCCCTGCCTACAGGTGGGTGTCCTTTGACTCTACTCTGCCACGTTACATTTAGCCATTAGCAAACGAATCTGTCCACACCAGTATCCCATTTGCAAAGCAATTTGTCTAACATAGTCTGTATGCCAGACGGAAGCTGGTTAAGTGACTCACGCTGTATTCTAAGTAAAATATGCTTAGCAGTTCATTAGACTTTGGCATCCATAACTAATTACATTTGTAGCATCACTTGTAAGGCCGTGACTCTTACACGGCAATATGCTAGCGTCACAGGGACACTGCCCCAGTGCAGGTGCTGTTCATGGTCTGTGGTCAGTGCCTTTTATCTGTGGATCGCCAAGCCCTTCACCACATCTGTGGGGCAATCGCAGTAAAACTTTGTTCCCATCAGATAGAGGATGTCTCTCTTCCTGTTCTAAGTACCTTGGGCCTGATTTTTCTGCCCTGGTTCAAGCCCCTTTGCACCACCCAGGTGGCACAGAGGAGCTGAATCTGGCCCTCGGGATTCCCTCGGCATAGCATAGCCAACCCAGACACCAAATACCCCCCCACCCTGCCCTGCATAGGGGTGGTGCCCAGGGTGGAGCATGCCCATGCGATACCCAGCTGGTGAAATGTCCTATGTACCATTTATATTGCTCTAAGGGCTAGAGTCCAGTTGGGTCGGGGCCCCATTGTGCTCTTCACTGCACAAACATACAGTACGTGATAGTCCCTGCCCCAAAGACCTTACAAATCACACCTGGCCGGTGGGTCCAAGCTAGAGCAGTCCATGTGAATCATGAGATTCATGGAGGTGCAGTTTGCGCCCTTTAGCAGTGCCAAGTGTCTCTTGCTACAAGAGAAAATTTGTCACTGGATTTCAAGGGTGGGAAGGTCTTAAATCCACATAGTCATTGCCCAACACGCGAGTCCTCACATCTGTGGCTTGTAGAAGCAGCCTTGTTTTGGGTTCACTCTGCTGTCTCTCCAACGGGTGCCCCGAACCTCCTTTCGGGAGGC